TAGTACTACAATCTCTTCTAAATCTAGCCTGCACATCTGGCAGTTCTCTGTTGACATATTGTTCCAAATGTTTTTGGATCATTTTCAGCAGAATCTTGCTTGCATGTGATACTAATGATATTGTTCTATAATTTGCACACTCTGCTGGGTCACCTTTCTTTGAAATGGGAACAAATATTGATCTTTTCCAATCAGTCGACCAGCTGACTGTCCTCTAGATTTCTTGGCACAACTCCTTGAGCACATCCAGGACAGCATCTGTTTGTTGAAATAATTCAATTGGTATGCTGTCAACTCCTGGAGCCTTGTTTTTTTGCCAATTCCTTCAGAGCAACTTGAACTTCCTCCTTCATCACCATAGGCTCTTGCCCATATGTTATTTCATGAAATTTCTCTGTATCAGCCAAATCCTTCTGATACAGTGACTCTGTGTACTCCTTCCATCTTCTTTTGATACTTCCTGAGTATTTAACATCCTACCCAAACTATACTTAAGTGTTGCCACCCATGGCTTAAATTTGTTTTTCAGCTCCTTCAGCTTAAGGAACATTGAGCGAATCCAGCCCTTTTGATTTTCTGACTCCAGCTCTCTGCACATTTCATTATAGTATCTTGCTTTGTCCTCCAAGCTGCCTTTTGAAATTTTCTGTTCAGCTCTTTGATTTCTTGATTTCTACCTTTAGCTTTGGCTTCTCGGCGCTCTAATGAAGTACTCAAAGTTGAGTCTGGCATCCATCTCGGTCTTTTCTTCCTCTTCAGGCTTTGTAATGATCTTTTGCATTCTTCATGGTCAGTTTTCTTGATATCCTCCCAGAGCTCATTTGGTCTACACTCATTGGTGTTCAGCCTCAAACCTGTTCCTGAGATAGTTTTTAAATTCGAGTGGGACAGACTTAAGGTCAAATCTTGGTTCCCGTGGACTCGATTTAATTTTCCTCAACTTCAGCTTGAACTTGCATATGAGTAGTTGGTGGTCTGTCCCAGTGTCACCACTCGGCCTGGTTTTCACTGCTCATACTGAACTTCTCCACCAAGTCTTTCCACAAATGCAATTGATTTGTTTCCTATGCATACCATCAGGTGAGATCAATATATATAGTCTGTGTTTATGTTTCTTATAAAAGGTCTTTGCAATGAATTAATCATTGAATGTGCAGAACTCCAGCATTCTGTCTATCTCCAGCCTCATTTCTCTCACTGAGCCCGTGTTTTCCAGCTACTGATCCTTCATCCCTATTCTCAACTTTTGCGTTCCAGTCGCCCATTATTATCAATGTATCCTGATTGCATGTTTGATCAATTTTGACTGTCAAAGTTGGTAGAAATCTTCTATTTCTTCTTCTTTGGTTCTAATTATTGGTGCATATATTTGAATGATAGTGGTATTCACTGGACTTCCTTGTATGCATATGGATATTATCCTATTGCTCACCACATTGTATTTCAGGATAGATCTAGAAATGACTATCCTGACTTGACTATCAATGACCAGGTTTTTCTGTCTTGGAGCTGTTTGGTGGGTTTAACTACCAGCCTTCCACTTAACAACCAAGATCTTTACCATTGCACTACAAGAGGTCCCCTGATCAATGTTTCTCAAATAAAATAAAGGTAGCATACTGTCTCATGAATATCTTATTTAGGGGGAATATTCTTGCTATTTTTAAACCAAATATATGGATATAATTAAGCTAAATCCCAGAGCAGCTACTTGGAATTGAACAGATGGATTTCTTATTGTCTTCTATTTGTTTTTCTTTATTTCTTTGTTCTTAACTTAGTGAGCATAATTCATAATTTTCTATGACTTTATAATTTTCTATGATATGTCTTGATTGAAAAGTTTGTAGATTAATTAAATCACTTGTCTAATAATCAATTGATCTGAAAATTTGCAAAATTTTACTTTGGAAGTGTATGCCTTGAACTGCTGGGAATAAAATACAAGAACAAAAATTTTACATGAAATCTTTTAAATACTTCATTTTTGGTCTGCCATCTAAAATTGCTTCAAATTCTTGAACTATTTATGTATAAAAACTTAATTAATTTGCATTGGATTTACTTTATTAATTTAGTTCCACCAGGGATATTCCTTAATAGGCTTTTCAATAGAACCTTTTTCTTCCATAACATTGTATTGTTACGCAATGTTGAAGTCTGTATGGATTGCAGGGTTTTTTTTAAGAAACTGCATTATTAAGTATATTATTCTGATCATTGCATAGCAGTTTGCATAGTTATCAGCAGAAATAGACATTTTCCCACCCTTAGAAGCAAATTTGAAAAGAAAACATTATGAACTTTTGCTGTAATCTATTTTTATCAGAAATGTTTTCTCTCGAAGTATACTATACAATTTCTTTTAAAATGCAATGTTGGGGGGGCATTTTCCTTAAAAAAAGCAATTTTCCATATTCTAATCATAATGGAATATCATGTTTCAGTTAATCCATTTATTCTAGTTACTTCTTCCTTTTTTTAAAAAAGAGAAAATTGATTTGACAAGTTTCACTTAGTGCAATACACCTATACAGGGAATCACAATACAACGAAAATTCAAATCAAGGTCTCAGAATTTCAAACAAACACCAAGACCAAAATCCTAAAGTATTGGTATTGTGTCTCTTTTCCATTAATTTTTTAAAAAGGGAAGAAAAAAAGACTTAAACTTACATGCCTTAACAGATTATTAAATCAAACTAAAAATAACAAACATGCCAAATATTTTTGTCTTTTTAAAAATTACCTTTTCTGCATTTTCAGGGTGAAACAAAGATCTTAAAACTAAAGAACCTTCGACCTCAGGACTATGCTAATTACAGCTGCATTGCTTCAGTGAGGAATGTATGTAACATTCCTGATAAGATGGTGTCATTTAGACTTTCAAATAAAACAGGTATGAAATAATCTCTTTATGCCATATGTCTGTTGTGCACAATTAGTATTTTGTGAAACTGTCACCCTTCTAATGGACCAAATGATTTACATAGTATGTGCAGGATTAGGGAGCAATTTTTTTTCTGAAAAAAATGTTGGTTATTTGTAATACTCTAGTCAGTTGCATGCAGTAAAATTTAATTGTCGTATACTCCATGAATGGGCTTGTGTAACCACCAAATGAAACTATAGTTTGTTAAAATATTGTAATTATGAACATTATAAGCAAGCCAAAATCTTATTCAAATAGATTTTTGAGAATTATTAATACTTCTTCATGAAGAAAGTCAATATATCAATTAGTAAATGTGTTCTGTGATTCCAAAACCATATAAAAGAGCGTCTCTTTTATTGTCTTTTAAGTATAGAAACTAACTGGTAATTTCAGGTAAGTGTTTTTAGGAAAGGGCATTTGTAAAAAAATGTTAAAACATGAGCAAGACTACAACTTAAGTAAAGACACTTTGTGGTTTCTAATAGAGACCTCAGAAGAACTGAAAATAGATTAAGAAGAAATTACTATAAGGAAGAGCAAAATGTAGGCATAATGAAGGAACAGAGTGTGAGAGAAAGAGAATGTATGTGAATAAACATTCCTTAATTATTTTGTATACAGTTTTTTAAATAAGAATTTGAATTGGTTTTTGGAAACTCCAATCTCAAGTGTAGATTCAGGTAACACTTTACTTCAGAATATTTATAATCAATTAAACAGTCCTTTAATCATTTGTTTAACATTTATTAATGCCTCCACATATGTGAGACCTGCTATTTCTGCACTTGAAGTCTGTTAGATCATGGTAGACAAGTCCCTTAAGCTCCAGTGTCTCTACATAAAGCATATAGACTGGACACTGATGATATCCAGACTTAAATTAGTTCATCTAAGATGTGATCAGCCAGATACTCTGCTGGAGAAGGAGGGACAATCTCCCCCTGTACCAGTAGATTCAATTTGATGGTACACACACAGAAAAAATAGTGAAATAAAAAAATATTTTTTAAAAATATCTGCTCAGCAGCATCAACTAATTTGGTAGAAAAATTAAACCAAGGGCTTTATTGGAAGGTAGGAGCAATGTTTATGTGCTCATGAACACCTTAATCAACATGAGCTTTACTGAGTTGATATTTGAAATATTCACTCAGATTAATTGACCATTTATTCATCATAAATTTAATGGGACTCTATAGTGTGCTTGAAGCTCTGGGAGTGTGGTCCTTAGAGAGTTGCATGGTTAACCTAAAGGTGGTTGGTGCTTCTGCCAGTTCAAATTCACCAGCGACTCCATGGGAGAAAGATGGTAGATCTCCTCTTTTGCGATTTGCAGCCACTGGAGAGTCTGCTATGAATTGGTTCTAACTCAACAGCAATGAGTTTTAGGAATTTTGTGTCACAGGTGCCCTGGTAGTTAATGCATTGCTAATCAAAAGATTGGTGGTTTAAATCTCCCAGCTGCTGCATAAGAAAAGGTAAGTGTAAAAGAGAAAGGGCCACATGGGGACAGACATACCTGACCCTCATCTACTTCAAAAAGGGGATCTGTTCCTGTTCACAACATTAGTAACACAAAACCAATTCTAATGATTTTAGACATCTTTCCCATGTTCCCATACCTCTTTCTAGTCATCTCAACACCAATCTTAATCTTACTGTTTTGCTTAGTCCAAAAGCTGATGTAATAGTTTTACAGACCACACGGAACCATATTGGGGAAGTCAAAAGATTGTAATCCAGATTAATAACAGAATATGGTCAAGATAGGTCCTAAAATGTGTCACAAGCACCTCAACCTTGAGCCTCAGGACTCCGCAATAATATTCCTTAGTTCTCAATCCTGCCGATACTGGCTTCCCCTCCTCATTTGTCCCATAAAGTTCTCAGTTTTGCCAACATTGTTTCTCCCCTAATTCCCACCAAGGTCTCATCTCCTATCACCATCAAGGTCTCATCTCGTCTCGTCTCATCTCATCTCATCTCATCTCATCTCATCTCATCTCATCTCATCTCATCTCATCTCATCCATCATGTCTCCAGTTCAAACACAAGCCACTCTATTCCTGGTGGTGAAGTCTCTTACGTCTTTACAACTGGGGGATGATCTGATCTCTAGGCCAAAACTGTTCAATTTATTGTCAAAACTAGTCAATCCTCTTATAGATTTTTGCGACTGGTCTATCCCCTTGTGGAATGGTAGATAGCCAATCACTTTGTGGATAAGCAAACATGTCCCTTTTGCAGAGTCACTCCCATCCCATTCAAATAATGCTATAAAAGGACTATTGAAAGACCATTGAAAGACCAACTCCATTTTAAGACAATGTGTTCCCTTCAGATTTATAATTTAGGGGAAAAGGGCAATATAAACTTTTTAACCATAATTACATTCTTTCCTCTTGCATTTGCTTCCCTTACATTTGCTGGTGTGTTTTTGTATATGGTCAAGCTGGAACCAACCCATAACTGACCTTCCAACAGGAGTTCAGAGGCAGTTAATCACATGGATCAACATCATCTTTATTCCATAGAGAAGCTGGTGCATTTTAATCCACCTTTGTGTTGACAATGCAGTTACTTACCACCTAGCTACCAGAGTGTGTCTATGTCTGTGTCTGTGTCTGTGTCTGTGTCTGTGTCTTTGTCTGTGTCTGTGTCTGTCTGTCTGCCTGTCTGCTTGTCTATCTATCTATCATGGATTTAATCTAATGGGATTACAAGAATCAGATCAATTACATCTGTGGAAAGAATAGTTAGCTAAGTTCAATGTCAGCAGGGGAAACCAGGCCAAGTACTGATTTTGAAACAGATCATCAACTACTCATGTACAATTTCAAATTAAAGCTAAAGGAG